GCGCTTTTGGACGGTAAAACGCCAGCCTGGTTGGCGTTTTTACCTTAGCCAAATTTTATTAAAATTTCAGTCAAGGTAAAACGCCTTTGCCTTGACTGAAATTTTTTTTAAAAAAAATGGCCAGGGTAAAAACGCCACCCTGGATGGCGTTTTATCCTGGAAGCTTAGTTTGGTAAATAGTTTTGTCACGCGTCTAATATGAAACATTGTTTCTCAACCAAGTTCACTTTGGTCATTTTTCCATCATTTTTACTCTAACCTTTTCTCTAAATAAGCAACAACCATAATTCATTAGGGTAATTCTGATACAAACACAATGGATCTTGCACGAAAGTTGTTTATCATCTTCAATTCCTATGATTCAAGGAGATATTGAAAACTAGAGAAAATTTTGTTACTCTTTTCTTTTTTGACAAAGAGTAATTTCTATCTTCGTTTGATGAACTCTCTGTCAATTGTGTTACTTTCAAGTATTTTGATTATTATCTTAGAAATAAGTATAAGTGTTTGAGAAAATACATGTATGTATTTTATGAGGAGTTGTATCAAACATGATTGACATGAAACTTTTTTGCAAAATTATACATCATACATTCATACATATACTTTAATTTATTATTACTATTGTCCTTTATCACCATATAATAGCTAGAAGCATGTTGTAACAGCTTATGGATTTCTAATGACTTGGCTGGCTTTATGTCTAGTTCTCCTTCCCTAGGCATCATCTTCGATGTGTGTCTCTATATGTCTATATGACTATATTGATGATCTACTCTTCACAACTTATAAAAAACAAGAAAAGAAAATATGTACTTTGTAATTAAATACTGCGATAGTCAATTCTATATTTCTATATAATGGATACAAACTAGCGATTTAGTAGGTTTTTTTAAATTCTTATATGTGATTGGCCACACGGTGTGGCCAGTCATCATGAGGGTTACTTCGTTAGTATAATAGGAGTTACTCATTTAGTTTACAGGGGTTACTTTGTCATTGTTATAGGGGTTACTCCGTCAGTGTTGTAGGGGTTACTTGTTTATGTTACAGGAGTTACTCGTTTATGTTACAGAGGTTACTTTGTTCCTTTATAAGCGGTCCCACACAAGATAGGTTGTATCATTTATGTGGTAGATGATATCAGTCATCTATTGTCTGATATCATTTTTTTCCCATATATCTTTATTTTGTTGGTGGACTTGTTATTTTGAGGCTTGTCTCATGAATCCATGTTAGAGTGAGCATTTTTGAAAAAGTATGCATTTTTGAAAAATGACAATTTTTTATTTTGATTTGATATTTTTAAATCAGAGTAAACATAGAAAGAGTGCCCTAATCCTAGGATTGAGTCAGTTTTGGTTTATCAGCGTTCCTAATTTCTTGAAGGATTGTTAATCACTCATTATAGTCCATAACTATTACTTCGTAATTGGTACTAAACCATAATAATCTAAAACTACGTAGTATCACATTTACAAGTGTGATTCAAAAGTATGTGTTTGATACCATTAGAGGAAATCTTACCAACTAATTATGCTTTTAAAAATGAATAACTTATCTCCAACCAACTACTCGTCTAATTAACCAACAATTAAACAAAATTAATGGCTTTGTACAAGAATGCTTCAGAATGGTCCCATCTACTCTCCAACTACTTGGGAGTTGGGAATCATGCCAACTTTTGTGAACCGAAAGAAGAAATGAACTGTTATTTTACTTTCATTACCAATTATATACAGTATATGATTGTATTGTGATCAAATGTGAATGAGATCTTGACACTAATCTCGTTGATTTTATTAATAATTACTTCGTATGCAGGGGCGGAACTAAGGGGGCTAGGGTGGGCCACTGGGCCTTGGTTTAGATTATCTATTAAATGTTGGAAGTTCGATTCTTCCCCTTAAGGCCCTATCACTACATACTTCCACCAATTGTTTACATTTTTTTTTGACATTTTAATATAATATACTATACTCCGTAGATATTACTACATAGTTTGGCCCCATAATAAAAAATTTCTAGTTCCGCGCGCCTCTGTTCATATGATCTTGCTTGGTAATTAGATTTTACATCTAATCAGCTAATAAAAATATTATACAGTACTCCTTATAAATTAGTGCGGTGTAATTGTTATATCGTTGGCTTAAAGGTTAAATTGTCAGCAAAATATAAAAGATGATTAGAATTATTATGTTTTATGGAAATTTGATTATTTTGTATAACGGCAGAGTAATTTATACTCCGTAATTAATTTGATATTTATAGTCTTTGTTATATATAGTACGTAGTACTAAAAATTTATCAAATAATAATATGGCCAGCTAATAAGAGAAATTAATAATTATAATAACGGCGCACTTCTAACTTAAAGAAGAATGAGGGGTCACGTAGTCAGGTAAATACGTAATGCTTAGAAAAATTTGTTTATTTAGGAAACATTGAAACAATGGGGACTAAACCAGAGAAATTTGTTTTATTGGCTTACATAAAAATGGATAAAATGATAAAGTAAACTGACTGTTAATTGTAGGGTATCATACAGTATTTATATTTATCTGTTGAAATTAAGTTATTTATGGGTTTTTCTATATAGTAACCTCGTTTTTTTACTTTTCTACGTTGTGCCCTAACATATATGATTTTCTACACTGTAACCCTAAATTACGAAAAGTGAATATACAGTAACCTACGTTAGCATACATTTATGACGGGCGTTTGGGTTGACATTTATTCCGTCACCTAACTCTTACTGTACACGCACTATACTTTCTCTCTCCTTCAAAATTCCCTCCTCTTCTCTCACTTCACTTCACTCCCCTCCTGTTTCAATCGTTGATCAAAAACCCTAAGAAGAGAATTTCAGACAAATTTGAGAAAAATCTTGCGCGGAAAATTGGGTGCGGCATTCGTGGAGATCAATCTCAGAGTGGAGGAGTAGCATCAACGAAGGTATGTATTTCGGTCGTTTATTCATCCTTTTACAGTTGTTCCATTTTTGTCGAATTATGAATGAATTGGGTTGATAAGTTCATAAAGTTTGGAAATTTGTTGATTTGTAGTGTTTATGTGGTGGTTGTTTGGAAATTTGCGTGCTTTGGTTGTGGGTTCGTTTGTGGGGGTATTTTTTTTTTTTTTGTATAATTGCGTGATTGTTTTTAGGTTTTGTTGTGACTAATTTCTGGGGGGGTATGATTAATTTAATTGCTTTGAAGTTGCTTAAATATTGATTGATGTATTGATAACATCTTGCAGATGGATGAAGAGAGGATTTTGAAAATCCACTATCGTGGTAATTGTGTTGATTTAACAATTGATGATGTTGATAAATGTTTGCTAATTGATGTGATTAATGATATGTGTGAGGAATTGCAAGGAACATGATGAATTGGAGGGGAACGAACAGCGAGAACTAGACATGGCTTCTTGCTTCAATTTAAACTGTAATTACCTACAATGGAACCCTAGAAAAATTGAAAACAAACAGGGGATTTATAAAAAGAGGAAGAAGAAGAAAGGAGGGCGGCAGTGGCTTTTTGGAGGGAAATATTCCCCCCAAACTAATAACAGACTACCTATATGCACTCTCATTAAAGTTAATTACGGAAGCAACTAACGACAGTTTAACGGCGAGGGCACCATATAGTGGCTCTTCGTACTTTTAGATTACAGCGTAAAAAGTCATATATATTAAGGCACAACGTAGAAAAGTGCAAAAAACGAGGTTAGTATATAGAAAAACCCTTTATTTATTTATTTATTTATATTCAAGATATTCAGCCAATAATGATGTGGCGTACTTGCCTGAAATAACTTTAGAGGGAGGAAATGCAATATTTATGCAATGATGAGTACAACAGACTTCATCAATTCGTGTCCCAAGTACTCGTACTTGATAGTTGACATCCTGCAACTTATGTCATGGGTTGCCTAGGACGGCACTATTTATTTATTCCCCTATTTAAACCTTGGTCGAATTTAAGCTTGAATGAGTATTAAACGAGTTTTAAATGATCTTACATGAGCTTGCTTTATACTAGTATGAGATGTTCGCAAGTATAAAATGAATTTAATACATAGTAATTTGAATAACACTTAAGTTTTGTTCAATTTCATCATTTGTTTACGGGACGAATAAACTTTAATCAAGCCTAATCACGAGTTGAGCAGAAATGCAAATATATATAGTGGCGGAGCCAAGGATGGCCTCTCCCATGACTGTGTATATGTATTAAAAGTAACAGTATATTACACATGCTAAATTGTGGTAAAGTTGGTTTACTTTGGTTGCAATATTTATCTTGCCATCCTCATCTTGAATTCGAGTCCTATCCCTTGCGGTTTTTTTGTTCAAGTTTGCTTGCTTTAGTACACTTACCACCTGCAAACTTGTAGTAATATTGTAATAAGATATCTAGTTTGGGGTCTTTGGGCATTTGTCTCTCTATGTTCAAAATGTACTCACTTAACTCGATTTTTTACTTTTAATACTTATGTATAATGATTGGGTCTCACTCATTTAATTTATATTGCATTAGAATTGGAAATTGTTGTATTTTATATTATTAAATTTTATACAAAGTATTATAAAGAAGTATATATTTTTTTGTGTATGTGATATGAGTACGTACGTATCATTTGGCCCCCGTAATAAAAAAAATCTGGCTCCGCCACTGAGTATATACTAACTTTTCTATCTTAATAGTAAGAATGAAAGTAAATATGAGGATTTGCTATTAAAAAGTAAAACAGAAAACATATATTTACATGGATAAATTTTTCAATTTTAATTAAGGTAAGTATACAATTCATAGCGTACATAATATAGATATCCTACACCACTTTCCAAATTCTTTACTATGTCGTATACATATACACCATAATTCCAACATATCTATCAGGAGGTAAATCGCGTAGCAGATTGGATAGCTAACGTGGTTCATTTAATTACTGATAATATGAATATTGATGTTTGTAATAACTCTAATTTGTTCACTATTCTTTCTTCTGATACATTAGGACTTTAAGAGTACCTCTCGTAAAAAGGATATCTAATAATTTTTATCTTACCTTTTTACAAAAAAAAAATATATACGCCATAATTTTGAACTTGTATAAAAATAAAATCATTAAAATATGTATTTCACAAATACACGAATTAATGAATTATACACCCAAACAAACAAACAAATATATCTCAATTCACAAAAGACCTTTTCTTTCATTAGAACTCTTTATCACTTTTTTATACTTGTATTTTATAATTTACCAATTTTTTAAAATAAAAATTAAAAAAAAAAAAAAACGTGGGGAACGTAGAATTGTAGAAAAGGGCAATTAACAGATTTCCCAACATTGTGTTTGTATTTTATTTTGTTTGGTTACCCAAAATTTCTTAAACTTCTCCTTCTTTCTTCTTCTTCCTTTTCTCTCTCAAAAAAAATCATACACTGAGATACACACAAAGATTAAATCACACGTATTTGCACCAAATTCAGCCACCTGCCCTTTTCGCGTTTTCCCTCAATTTTCTCTCTCTTCCTTCTTCTTCTTTTTTTTTTCTACCTATATTATTCAACAAATCAAAAAAGTTTGATCTATTTATTAATTTATTTTTCAACAGAAACAAAAAAACTATATAACTGAAAAAACCCAGAAAAGTTGTGAAGAAAGATTAAACCTTTAATGGATAGTCTTTGTGTGAGATCTGGGCTTCATGGTTTGGGCTCAACAATCACATTGAATAATGGGCTTGATGTTTTTCGGCCCAGCCCATCAATATCTTCCGTCGGGAGGTCACCGACGGCGGCGACGAATGCAATATCAGTCGATAAAACGGCGTCGTCTTCATCTTCATCTTCAAAGTTTGCAGCTTTTAATTACCCTTTTAGATCTCTGTTTTTTGGAGGAGAGAGAAAACAGAGGTCTAAAGGTGTTGCCTTGGACGACGCCGTTTTAATGGAGGAAGAAGATGTTGTGGGAAGCAGTAGTAGTAGTGGTGGTGGTGTGGTGGGGCCCTCTGATTTAGAAGGGCAAAATGGTAATTGGGTATTGAAGATCCTCCATGTTAGGTCTCTGTGGTCTTCTCCAGAGAAGCAAGGAAAGGGTGACGTGGAGGAGAGAGAAAATGAGGAAGAAGGGCAAAATGGGAATTTCACTTGTTCAAAGTCGGATGAAGGGTGTAAAGCATGTTATAGTGATGAAGATGATAATGATGATGATGAAAAGAATGTAGAATTTGATAGAAATTCATTTTCTAAGATGTTAAAAAAGGTTTCTCTGAGTGAAGCTAAGTTATATGCTCAAATGTCTTATTTGGGGAGCTTGGCTTATTGTATTCCTAGCGTCAAGGTATGATTTTTAATTTTATTTTGCATGTTAATTTTGAATTATTGTTATTATTTTTATGATCTTTTGGTGTTTTTGATGAATTTTTTTCAATGGTAATATTCCCGTTACACCATAGATGAAAATGATGAGTATGGTTGAACAGAATAGATGCCTAGATGGTTTAGAAGATTGTCTGTCTTTTTTTGTTTACGCATAGTCAGGTTAAACTATCTACTCCGTAGTAACTTTATTTAGCTTTTTACTATTACAACTGTACCTCTTTTTTTAAAAAAAGAGTTGTACACGAGAACAATTAGATTCGTCGTTTCTCAAGACTGTAACCTAACTTACCAAAATTAATGAAATTTGTTTCGACGAAAGGGTCAATTTCTTGATGACTATCCGTTTAATTGTACAACTTATTAACCCAAGCTTATCTTGTACTTTATATTTGTCGAGCTGTTTTTGCTGGTGGAAGTTCTTAGATTAAAAGCTGTTCTGATCTGGAATATTTGGTTGAGAGCAAGTTGCAAGTATTTGAAATTTGTTATGTCTGTTTGAAAATTTAGGAAGAAGGAAACTGGAATGTTTGGTAGATTGCAAGTTGCAACTGCTTGCAATTTGTTAGGTCTATTGGGAAATTAGAAAAAAGCTAAGGGCAAATCTGTAATTTGAATTGTGTCGACGCCTTTTCAGATATTCCCTGACTCAATCATATATGTGTTCTTCAAATATCTTCTAGGACATGAATCATATTATTAACTGATTCATCTATTGACTACAGTATAACTGGAACATTGGAATTAGTTTGAGGTCAGCTAATTTAGCTGATTTTGGCACTAAAACAATGTTTTGATGCTGTGGTCCAAGTATTAATTTGGGTTATTATCTTTTAAAAGTAAAATGGTTGATTTTCCTAAAGCGTGTTTATTAGTTTCAAAGAAATATACATACTTCGTATCTTTTTCAATGTAATTTGTTATGAGTATTTGCTTAATTAAATTATGATGGCCTGTATGTACAAAAAAGATGTTCTTTTTTTGGACACTTTATTATCAATATATCTGCAATGGAAATTAAAATGCTATCATTTTCCCAATGTAGCCGAGAAATCTTTTGAAGCGCTATAGTCTACGTTATGTAACTTCTTCAATCGAAAAGAGGAAATTGTTAGCTGAGGCTGAAAAGAAAGAACAGTTAGCCAATTCTGAAGCCAAGCAACAATCTGGTGAAGCTGAAAGCAAGGACAACTGTCAAGAGGAGGCAGGGCAAAGTGATTATCAAAAGAAAGAAGAATCTCGAGTGAGAGAATTGGCTGCTTTTCAGGTTGCTGCCTCTGCTGCTTCATTTTTGCATTCTCGGACTAGAACTTTGCTTTCTTCTCGGTCCTCAAAGGACAAAGTGGATGGCCACCCATTGAACAAAGATAGTGGAAATGATGAAAATCTAGACATTAACTCGGATATGGCTTCTCTAATGGCCACCACAGACTCAGTAACTGCTGTGGTTGCTGCAAAAGAGGAAGTTAAGCAGGCTGTTGCCGATGATTTGAATTCAATAAGCTCTGCACCGTGTGAGTGGTACATTTGTGATGATGATAAGAGTGCTACTAGATTTTTCGTCATTCAGGTAATTTAATTTGTTTTGAACTCAGTGTGTTACAGCTCTAATTTCTTCTCCGTGTCAAATGTGATACTTATATAACGACTATTTTATATGATATCTGTGTAGGGGTCTGAGACGCTAGCTTCTTGGCAGGCTAATCTACTCTTTGAACCCGTTCAATTTGAGGTAAATGCTTATTTCCGCAGTTGGGAGAGATTTCTTCTCCTGTTCTTGTTCCAATATTGTATCTATCGATTCTTTAATTTATTCTTGATTTATTTGGCAAAACTTGTGCTTGATGAATTATACGGAGCAAAAAATCCTTTATTAAGCATTGTGCCCTTGTCTTTCACAGGGTCTAGATGTTCTTGTGCATAGAGGCATATACGAAGCTGCAAAGGGCATGTATCAGCAAATGTTGCCTGAGGTTCAATCCTATATGAAAACACATGGCAGCCGTGCCAAATTCCGCTTCACAGGACATTCACTTGGTGGAAGCTTGTCACTGCTCATTAATCTCATGCTGCTGATGCGAGGTGAGGTTCCATATGCCTCGCTTCTTCCTGTCATCACGTTTGGCTCTCCTGGTGTCATGTGTGGAGGGGATAAGCTGCTCCGCAAGCTTGGATTGCCCAAGAATCATATTCAGGCTATTGTGATGCACCGTGACATTGTGCCCCGAGCTTTCTCTTGCAATTACCCTAGGGCTGCTGCACAACTACTCAAGGCTGTCAATGGAAGCTTCCGCAACCATCCTTGCCTGAATAACCAGGTAAATTTTTCATTACTGAGTAACTGAATGTGCTGTATGTGCTTTGTTGCAAAACCTTGCTAGGACTAGTTATGTTCTGAAAATTGATGAAATAGGTCTCTTTATTCATCTTTTTATAAATTTAAACTTTATCATTTTTTTGGGACTGTGGAGTATCAGACGTTGATTGCTTGAATTTGGGACGAAAGAAATTGTGAAACTATATTTCATTTTTTGTCAATTTAATGTTTTATGATCTTCTTGGGACTAAGGGAGTTCGAAGTATTGATGGCTTGAATTCGGATTAATAGAGTATGTAGCATTTAGATCTATTCTAATTCTTTTTTGACATGTGACCATTTCAATTGCAGAAGCTACTCTATGCACCTATGGGGGAGATGTTGGTTTTACAGCCGGATGAAAAGTTCTCTCCACAGCATGACCTACTTCCTCCGGGAAGCGGTCTATACCTTCTAACTTACAAGGTTGGTGATGCCATCGAGGGAGAAAAGAAACTTCGGGCTGCAAAGAACGCATTCTTAAACATACCCCACCCACTCGAGATCTTAAGTGACCGCTCAGCATATGGAAATGACGGTACTATCCAAAGAGATCATGACATGAACTCTTACCTGAAGTGTGTAAGGGGTGTGATCCGCCTAGAGCTCAGCCGCATCAGGAAGGCCAAGAGGGAGCGACGTCGTCAGGTGTGGTGGCCTCTAGTGACACCACACGTTGCCAACAGAAGTATCACCGTGGGAACCACATTGGGTCTGATCAATGTAGGTCAGGCCAAATTCAAGTTTGCCGGGATTGTCAAGTCCGGGAGAGAGTCGTTGAAACGGTTTAGCAGGCTTGTTGCATCACAGCATATGCATTTGCTTGTTATGCTCTTGTTTCCTGCAAGAATGCTGCTGATTGGCGCGTACAGTGTGATTAATTACAGTTAATTTGGCAAACTGTTTGATAATTCATTTGGATGAAATGTACAGAAGGTGGTGGCTCCCAAAATTAGTTGGGAAATTCTTTATTCATTGAGATATAGAAGCTCTGCATGATTTTTCATCCGTGAAGAGCAATAGGCAATTCTTGTCGCATTAGATAAATACTAAAATGTCGAAAACCGACATATTATTGTAGTTTTATTTTTATTTTCCTCTTTAAGATGTAATTGTTGTAAACATATTGAACTGTAGTCATAAACATGTGATTTTAAACTAAAATCATTATACAAGATGTCATAATCATATACTTGAATTTGAAATTTTCTTAATGTTACGATTTTTTTCTTTTTTAATGTTCTTACCATCTTTGTTATCTTTTAATTTATGATATTAGTACTGCAAATATGATTTTCTTTATGTTGTTTAATTAGTATAGAACTCCTATGTTTGTTTTTTTTTTTTTTTTTTTTTTGGTGAAATAGAACTTCTATTTTGAAATAGTTGATATTTTGGAAATTATATTTATATTGAATGGCTTGTCCCTCTAATAATATCACGATCATATATAATTCCTTTCAATAATTAGCAATTTTAGTTGATTTGGACGGTGTTTTTTTCAAGCACGTTAATCATGAATTTTCACTAAGATTTCCTATGAAGGGTTTTATAGTAACAAAAATTACATGCTAAAATTTTCACTAATGAACCTTTAATTGCTTTCTACCTTAGCTAGTGTTTCTGTGTCCTATGTGTGAGATCGATTTCAAATTGTGTCTTCTAATTTTCGTATATGGCTCTTTCATACTCTATGGTGTACATGTTATAGAAATAATTAGGGATTTCTGGAGATGTTGTATGGTACGGAGTATATCTGTTATGTATGGAGTAAGAAGTATCAAATATAACGGTAAATTATACATTTGTCTTAAAAGGTGATACCTCTGCTTACAATTTTATCAATGGAATACATGCGTTATATTATTAGCTCAACTAAATATTAATTTCGATGTAATTATATCTTTTTAACGATTCAAGAACAAAAGTGAAAAAAAATAAATAAATAAAAAATAAAAAAGAGCCATTGCATGTAAAGTGGATTGGGTCCAGAAGAGTTGGAAATGAAGTGGCATAAAAGGTCAACTTAGAGCCTATCCAAACGCCTAAGCAAAACCATGATGAGTAGTCAGCATATTTGGGTTGGGACCATAGATGACCCCTCTTGCTTAGTTGCTTCCAAAATCCATGCATCAAAATTGAAGGGATTACAATTTACATATATAGAAATTGGATAGGAATCAATTATAATCATAGTCAGCCTCATGTCACATTTTTTTGTAATAAAAAATAATTTTCATATTTTTTTTTTTCTACAAAAGGAATACAAACAAATACCGGTAACAAACCAAAAACAATTTGCCTAAACTTCCGTGTGAATTAGAAAAAACCAAAACATAAGCAAAGAAATTGGAGTATTGCTTAATTCTATACCAATCTTTATTTTCCTCTTATATTCATTCCGTATTAAATTGGAGTTAGTGAATTTAAATTTTGCATGAACTTGTTATGATTCGGTTAAAAGATCTGGTAATTATAAATTTTGTATATCCTAGCTTAAGCATGGTGATTAATAGGAATGAATAGCTTGTAAGCTTATACGGAGTATATGTACATGCATACGCAAACTCATCTATACAATCCACGCGGAACGTAACAACTCTTTGCTTGTTTCCTAAGGTATTGACAAATTTAGGAAAGTCAATTTAAAACTCATAGAACAATTAAAACACCAAAAAAATATGCCCCTTGTCAAGGATTATGAGTTGCCTTGATAGACTAATGTCAATTTGGCTCCATCAAACACATAGTCAACATTGTTTTCATCTTGATTATGGTTAAATTATGAAAGTGACTTTTATGAAAATTATAATCATATGGACTAATCTTTAATTGGATATTTTTGCAAGCTACATTGATTTATAATTTGTCATATTTTGCTAAATTACAGCTTCTGTGGAACTATATGCAATCAAGTTCTAGAGAGTAGTTGAAGTTGAGTGAAACAAGCAATTGGTGCTTTTATGCTATTTGAAGTCCTTCCAATGGCTAATTTTCTCTCACACATCCCTTTTATTTCATATTCATCCATCATTATAACCAATAAATGGCTGTTTTGTCCTCTATCCTCACAAATAAAAGGCTTAATATCAACATTATTTTTGACAATAACTAATTACGTTTTCACATAGTAAATCACGTACCCTGTGTAATTTCATGATTTTAGGATATATTGTACATTTGATGGTAATAGTATCACATGAATATTTTATGAATCACAAAGTGAATCTTGATTTTCAGATTGGCTTCATTAAAAAAAACACGTTTTTACTATGAAATATTATTTCACGAGACATTAATGATAATGGATTAGTCGGATTCAGATTACGATTGCCAACCTAAAATTGCACGTCAGAGCAAATTGGACCCCTACAATTCAGTGAATATGAGACCAACTTAAACTTAGGTTTTGCTGAGAGACAAAAAAATAGAAAGTGGTGAACACATTCTCTTGTTCGACATGTTTTTTTGGTCTCTTTCGTTACATTTACGAGTATATTGTAACCTTATCCATACAACAAGGCATGCTCACTATTCTGGGTGTCCTATATTACCCATTATTTCAGGTGTATATTGGAGAAGAGTCTTATATGTTCTACTTGGTTTGGTCAAACATACGACACATTACTTGTAGTCTTCTAGGATTTTGCAAAACGAATGACTAGTTTTGATCTTTTCTTGTGACTTTGTTTTACCCATTTCATAATTCTCTAGGTATCTTTGATCTAAATCTATGGATTACTTTATTATTTTGCGTTTTAGAAGTTAAAGATTTAAAAACTCACTAGCCGTAACAGCTTATACAAATAACTTCAAATTGTTGCATTAGTACGTGAATTATTATAATAATTCATAGTTTTCAACTCGAGTTTTAAAAGACCGGTAAATTATTAGGTGCACTTAGAAGCATGCATGTCAAATAATGTGACAACAATTTATAAAATACTCCTCTCTACACATGCTAACGTGCACATAATAATTTGATAAATTATCTCGATATTAGATATTAGGACACGGGGTCGAGGGTAGTAGATGTCATTTTTACGGTAATGCCTAACCTATACGGAGTAGTTTTTGTGACAAGTCTTAGACTCTTAGACTGTCTATGAATAATGCAAAGGCAACTCCAAGTTGGAGACACTAGAGAGCATTTGTTTTGTCCCATTGAAACATGCACATTCAGATTTCCTCATCCAAATTCAAAGCATAGCCGGGTTTCAAACTTAGGAAGTACACGCGGAAAACACACTCTTGAGTAAAACAACAAAGCTAAAACTTTGACAAGTTATATTGAATTTTGAGTCTCATATGTAGCGCCCAGCTATCCAACAAAGGAGTTGATGCAGCTACGAGGTCCCTCTTTTCCCTTCTGCATAAGTTCCTCGTGTAATTTGGATCAATTTTACGTGTCATATACGTAAATATAGACCACCTAAATGGTCAGTTGGTATCAAGTACTATTTGATAGGGTGGTAAGGATTAGATCACAAATCACAATCTTGAGGAAGGTTGCGAGATCAATTGTCAACTACTTCTCATGCTTTTTAAGAATTTTCATTTCCCATATCAACCAAACAAATACTTCCTTCGATAACGATTATTTGCAACAAATGTACTTTTCGCGGAGGTCTAGGCAAAACTTTTAAGACATGATTATTGAAAAATAAGGGCACTTGGTTAAGTATTAATCCTACCTAAAAAAAAGCATATCACCACCGAAACCCAAAACCAGAACCACCACCAAACCCAGAACCAAGAATCACCACCACCACTACCGAAACCCAGAACCCATCGAAAACCACCACCACCGAACCCACCGAAAACCACCACTACCGAAAACCACCAACACCCACGAATCGACTGAAAACCACCACCAAAACCCACTGAAAACCACCAATATCCACCGAAAACCACTACCAAAACCCCTCGAAAACAACCACCAAAGCCCACCGAAAACAACCACCACCCCCACGAATTGAATTAATCCCAACCACCACCACCACGAATTGAAATTAATCCCGATTAAGTCACCACCCACAAAACCCACGAAACCCACAAAACCTAGACCCCCGACACCTAGATCCACCCACGAAACCCACAAAACCTAGACCCCCGACACCTAGATCCACCCACGAAACCCACAAAACCTAGACCCCCGACACCTAGATCCACCCACGAAACCCACAAAACCTAGACCCCCGACACCTAGATCCACCCACGAAACCCACAAAACCTAAACCACCATTCACGAAACTCATGTCGCCCAGAACCACCACACCCATGAAACCCACAGGTGACCACCTCCAAATCTGGATAGAAGATGGGGAAGATAAAGGAGTGAGATTTTGATGATGAAGGAGGAGAGAGAAATTTTGATGATGAACCACCAAGAGGAGTGAGAAATTTGATGAACTAGATGAATATTGAGAGATTTGGTTTTTTTTACAGATTTGATTTTTTTTTTTTTTAAGATTAGATGAGTTAAGTTAGGGTTATAATAGCGTATGGTTAGTCAAATGATTAAGGGAGTAAGTTGGTTAAGTGAGGGCAGTTTGGTCACTTCTTACAAAAAAAAAACTTACTAAAAGAGGAAAAAAAAATTGTTGCACATAATAGATAGCACCTGTTTATGGCAAATGTTGCAGATAATCGTTAACAGAGGTAGTACTAAAAACTATGAACAGAATGGCCGTGCAAGCCCACAACCAGTGCCAATAGGCCTAGAGCTCAAATAGGTTGTGCTTAAAATGGGTCAATGAAAGCCAAGCCACAAGCAAAGCCCATGATCGTGTAAACAAATTACCAAAAGACTTGGAGATTTTTTTTTTTTTTGGGTGGAAAAGAGGGGCAAGCCCCTAGGAGATTCTTAGAAATTACATCAAATGCTCGAATAAGTCGAATGACAAACAATACCAAGTCCCAGGAATAATAATTTGTTCTAATCTCCATGCTGAAACCTAGCAGAATTATGAAATCGACACCAGGCCTACACTGTAAATACAGTATGAGATCAGATAGATTAAATAAATGAACCTCCAGTATTTAGCATGCTTCACAGTTATTATTAGAATCTACAAATGGAGTGTAAACTGACTGGGTTTTACAAGTAACTTGTAATTAAGCTCGTTCATTCTATTTCATAGTGTGCTTCGATTTGTCAGTTTTTACTAATTTTCCTCAACTCTTCTTTCTGTCATAAAGCTTTGGAAGTTTTCAAATCCATAACAGGGAGCCCATGTGCATCAGTCACCTGAAACCAGCTTTTCTTCATCCATATCAAAAGCCTTCCTAGCTTGTTTGAGCTCCTCGTTCATAGCAAGTAGTTCTGTGGCACGATTCAATTTTGGGAAGTCCTGAATTTCAATAAATAAACAGATACAAAGTTAGGCTTATGCAACACATATTAGTATGTTTTACCGATGTGGTTTAACTGTTTAAGTCTTTAAAGACAAGTGGTTGATTCTGAGATATTGGGTATATAGGCAATCTTAGAACCAAACTTGAATGACAAATCGACACAAGGTCAATGCAATAGGCAATGTTTGGTCATGCAGATTTATTGAGATTCATGCTGGATGTCAATACATATATATGGTCAGTGGGCCGGTTCACTTGGTGGACAGGGCTGGTAGGTGGGGAACCAGGAATGATCCATAAAGCAACTAGGAAGCAGGCAGGGCCAGTTCATGGGCCAATCAGATTTGGCCCATGACCCACCTGCTTGGACTGGTTAAGCCCAGTAGCCAAGGGGCTCAGTCTAAGTCTAACCCAGCTCACTGGCCACCTCTAGATGCCAAACTGCTGTAGCATCAGAATTGTGCTTTCTTTACAAACAGCAGATTAAGTACCCAATGAATGAACATCAGACATACAGAAGAGCAGAACAACCAGCTGCAAGTATTTACCAATAATTGAACACCAGGGACCTTAAAGACCATGAAGCTAATCAAGATAACCAGCAACAATCACAGCATCTCGTGAAACCAACAAATCTATAATGACAGCCAATAAATCCTTTACTTCTATTTCATAAGTATATTAAAAGATGTGCAATATTTCCAGCTGAATTTACAAATTATAAACAAACCACTGAAACACTACATTGTCTCTAAAATCAAGCCAGATTGGATAAAAGATGATGATTTAGTTATTTTACTTGCCAATAGTAAACAAAATTTTAGGAAACAGCAATAACTTTCATTAAATTTGATCCTACGAAATCATACCGAATTTTCAACATGTTACAGCCACGAGTTAATCCATAAGCTACAATATCCGAAGCAGATAACCATGAAAAGGCACAGCAATAGTCAGTAAAGTCTTAAAAGAGTTTACCTTACGAATGATAAACAGAAAGTCTTCTATCATCAGCCTCCCTCTCTTTGAAGCCACATCTTGGGCCTTGTGGGCCTAAAGCGTACAGCTGGTGAGAACATGAAAAGTAAACAGAGCTTTCAGTCCAGATTTAGGACTTACCAGATCTGTAACATACTCCACGACAATGTCCTCGACAAGGGCCACAGACTCCGGAAGTGGCTGGATATACAACACCCAATCTTAATCAAGTGACAGATGAAACCAATGCTAAAAGATACAAATAACAAATAGCAAAAATACAATCTATCTACCTTGAATAAATGAATATAGATGTAAACAATGTTAGCTCTGATAACATAACAGTTGACACATTTTAAACCTCCAAAAATGACCATAATGAACCCCCCCCCCCCCTTCCTTCTTCTGTAAGGCCTAAATCATTGAAACAAACATTAAATCAAGGAACTCAATGATTCATCATGCATGCTTGTTAGCATTATTAGGGGTAGACAAGGAAAACCATTACACCATAAAGCAGAGGGGCTGGAAATCACCAATTTGTCACTCATTTGCTTTCTCCAATATGTATTTGAGATTTCATTCTTATGAGACATCTCCAGTTGTCCACACAGATAAACCCCCAACCATCCAAGGTATCAACCAAGAAATAAGGAATATATCAACATGAAAACTCTTAATTAGCAAAGCATTAATTGACTTCTCTATAAGCATATATAAACATCCATTTTGTTTGGGAAGCTAAACAAGACAAGCACTTTACATCCCCTTTCTCTCTTAGATCTACAGTGAAGTTATATCACTTACACGAGCAAAACACATACCGTCCACCTACCCAAATTGAAAGCCAATTTCATTAAAAAACCCTTTGCTGTCAAGATATAGACTAACAGGAGCACATATTCAACTAAAAGTACTCCTTGCAGTTTTAAAACATATCAAACAAAACCAAATTCTTCCTAAGAAACATCAAGTGTAATTCAACAAAAGTCATACTTCAACAACTCACCAATGAAATCACTTCTGGATACAAGAATTTAATGAGAACATATCTCAAAAGAAATAGGTAGTTGAATTAAATACACTTGCTAGGTTCTTATTCACAAAAGCAACACCCAAAAATAATTAGACAACAGTCAATGAGCAAAATCATTAAAACATTAAAATAAACACTAAATCAATTCACAAAAGGTCAATTCACGCTAACCCACTAAGGGCACCAACATAAACAAACTAGTTTGAACCAAGAAGTTGATAGAAAAACCTCAATCACTCAAAGGAAGGAATATAAAACTATAAGTAAAAATTGTAAGTGGGAAGAAAGAAGAAACTCACATTCTGATCATCTCCATAACCATACATCATGTGCTGCACTGCAACGAAAATATCCATTATTCATTGTCAAATCTTTTTACAAAAAAAGAGGGGGGCAAAAAAGGTGTATATACTCACATTCTTTCTGGAAAACACCTCGCTTACGCTTGAAAGAAGTATCAGATTTACTTGAAGATTCCACTTTCTGTTTGAAGGAACCTCCTGCACCTCCTCCACTCATGATTTCTTCGTAGTAGTTCTACACTCTCTTCTTATTAAAGATCAGGCAGCAAATGTCCAAAATTCTCTCTTTTCCCTGGTTAAGACAAACAGCATATATACAGACTTGTTAAAACAAACATCTCACCCTAATTCTTGCAAAATGCCGATTTAGCCCCTATGGATGTCATTACAAAAAATGGCTCTTTTGGTAATGTGCACAATTTACTAAAGTCCAAGTTTAAACCAAGATATGCATATAGTAGCTGAGTAAGTCCAAGTTCATAACAAAGATATGCAAAGCCGAGAATATGCATAAGCCTTGGATTCCTCATATCGATAGGAAACCTCATATAATATGCTTTTAAAGAGTAAATTTAGACCTAGCACCATTAATTCGATCCATCTAAAACCCAATCCATCAAACACTCAATTATATAGCATCCTGAGATTACCTAAAACTGATCTACCCAATCAAATCTTACTCAAAGACCGACTATGCCTGATATTAAGCTGGCTTTGGCATTGGATACTAGATACGAGTTGACCAAAACCCAATTACTCGATTACAACATGAAATTCATAAGCCTTGGTTCCCTCATACTAGCTCCGGTCTCTATTATTTGCAACTTTCAGAGGGTTTGTGGTTCACGAGACAAAATTTGATAATTAGTGTATTTTATTCATGTGATTAGGAGGAGAGAGTGTCTAATTAATGGCTGTCTTCCCCTTCCTCTCTACCTTCCTTCATGGCTGCCCTCTTCCCCTACACCTTCATCCATGACAGCAACTTTCCGGCAACTCCACCCTTTTCCGGAAGCCCCCTCATTCGTCTTCCCCTCCCTTTTTCGGCAGCCCCCTCCCCCATCTTTCCCTCCTTTTTCCGGCAGCCCCCCTCTAACCTAAAAACCCAGAAATCCCAAACCCAAACGCAGAAATTGTCACCCAAAACACCTAAAACCCACGCCCTAGGACCCTAACCCATAAATCGTCACCATCATCACCTTCAATAAACCCAAAACCCACGCCCTAAAACCCTAACCTAGAAATTCGACCATCATCATCACCTTCAATCGAAATCAAAACCCAGAAAATCAAAACTCAGAAAATCGAAATCAAAACCCAGAAAATTGAAATCAAAATCCAGAAAATCAAAACTCAGATAATCGAAATCAAAACCCAAAAAATCGAAATCAAAACCAAGAAAATCGAACAAAACCCAGAATATTCGAACATAAATCACCCAAAAAAATGAAAAAAGTACAAAATTGAAAAAAAACGATAAAATGAATCTGGATCGCACATCATCTTCCTATATATTATCGTTAATCGCACATCATCTTCAACTGAAACTTGTGAGGGAGGAGAGATGAAGAGGATCGTTCGTCGGTGGTGGGATGGAAGGTGGTCGTGAAGGAGGAGAATGAATGGTGGTGGGAGGGGCGGTGGTCGTGACTCGTGAGGGAGGAGGGATGAAGAGGTTGAAAGAGATGAAGAGGGTGAAAGGTTGAAAGAGAGGTTGAAGAAAGAGATGAATGGGTGGTGGGTACACGAGGAGATGAGTAAATGGGGTGAGTAGAATTAGGTTAATGATTTTAGATTAGTTTAAAAAAGAGGTTTAATTAAATCTCTTAATCAGTTTTTTAAAATGTTAAGTAAGGGCATTTTGGTCATTTTACAAAATAAAGTTACTAAAAATGGAAAAAAAAATTGAATTGTTGTACATATTGTGGACCGCCCAAAAATAGTAAATGTTGCATATAATAAAGACCGGAGGTAGTATATTAATTGGAAACCTCATAAATATACTTTCTTAGGATAAATTAAACCTAGCACAATTGATTCAATCCATCAAAAACCCAATATATCATACACTCAATAGCATACTGAGATTAACTAAAATGATCTCACCAATCAAATCAAATTCAGTGTCCAACTATGCCTGGTAATAATGCTGACTTATTATCGGATACTCAACATGAGTTGAGTTCACCCTGAACCCAATTACTCAGAAAACAAGAAATTCATACTTAAAGAACCCCAAATTAGAGGATAACCATAACTTATAAATCACTAATAATAACATAATAATTGTACATTACAATACACAATTTAGTATTGCAAAGCTATGTTATTATAATCGAGCCAAATAGATAATGCAGTATATTGTATACACTTAAACCCTAAGATCGCCACAACTTTAATAATTCAAAATTTTCCCAATTAAACTGAGTTCTTTTCAATTATACTCAATCGTAGAATCATCAACATTCGAAATTTGGAGAAGGGTTGTTCAAAATTCATAAGCAAATGCAAGAAATAAAAAGCAGAAATAGAGAGAGAAAAGGGAGGAGAGTTGGTGGCACCTCAGCGGCAATTGGTGATGGAAGGCGGCGACTGGATGATCTTTCCGACCGGAAATTGACGGAGACGGTGTTGAGGCGAGGTGGGCGACGGTGCGCCGGTGCAGAAGAGAGAAAGCAAAAAAGAAGAATTACACTCGGAAATTGCAACGCCCTTTGGGTATTTATAATTTTAAATTGCGCATTTACCATCCATTTATCTTTAAATTACCAATTTACCCATTAACACCTCCCTTCATTAACTAAAGACCATCACAAGATTTTATATGACTTACTAGGTTTCAAACAACATTATACGCGCATGAACCTAAGATAGTAAGATGCAGAGGATGAGGAGTGGAGGGATGGTTAGTTCCTCCATCTCCCTGGTATGACCAGGGTTTGATAGGAAGGACACTCCCATATCTTACCGTATTTAATTTTTTTTTTTAAAAAAAAAAAAAGTAAGATGCATCCCATACATACAATCTCGAGGATTTTTGACACTAAGTTGAAACCTCCAAATTTGGATTTGTTATAACTTATTGAGTTATTACATTTGCTTCTGGACAATTTTGGACTTTTCTACCTTAAAAGAAAAGTAATGGGGTTCTTCCTATATATAGACCCCACGATACATTGGGAGGGCATTTGGGTGGTTGGAAGACTAGAAACCATTCATTTTGCCTTTACACCATTAATTCAGCCATTTATTTACATGAGCTCCTTAATCAGTTCAAGGTCACCACGATCATTTACATGACTAGCTAATGATCATAGATAGTTCCAAACAATATTATATGACCCCCATGAATTTATGATGCATTCCTTACAATCTTGAACTTTTTCAACATCGAATTTGGAAACCTACGAAATTTGTCCAAAAGTGTGAATTATATATCCTTCAGTATGGGCAAAAGTTTTACTTTTCCGGACTCGGTAAGAATATCAATTGGGGTGTTCCCATAGACCCCACAACAACCCCGTAAGCCATTTATGTTGTTGGAAGTGAAATTTATTTTAAGCTCTAGTAAAGTAGAATCGATTCATCAATTCAAAAGTTAAAAAGATTGTTACACTTCATTTGAAATCTATTAATCCTCTTAAACTCCATATTTGGTGAATTGGGATATCAAACTTTCTCATTTTAGTGCATCAAATTCTCTATACTTCTCTTCGGAATCATAGACAGTTTCCCTAAGCATTCTAACTCACGAAAACAATTGAGACGGTGTTAATAATATTAATCATATACTCCATCGATCCCCAAATATTACAATTCCATTTTGACAGTGGCGGGGGGACAAAAAGCTTTAACTTGACAAAAAGCTTAACCAAAAAAAAAAAAAAAAAAAAAAAAAAAAAACTCAAACACACAAATTGGTTAATACCTAATATTAAAATTTGACTCATTTTCATTGAGTTTCGGTCTTTTAAACAAGAATTGTCGAATATCAGGTTGTTTACTAGTTGCCTTGGATTTGTTTGAATTAGGTGAATCTTTTGATATTTCCCAATTAAATTGAAAAATATATATCAATTTCCACAGTCCACAATTCCCCATCATTACATAATAATAAAACCAAAATTCTAAATTTCTAATTCAACTATACATTTCAATAAATTCACAAAAACAGGAGAAAAAAAATGCAATCAAAAGTTCACAAAATTAACTATACATTTCATTATTTCAATAAATTCACAAAAACAGAAGAAAAAACAAGTAATAAACCAATTAACCAACAGATTTCAATAATCAGAGATTTCAATAAGACAATAAACCATCACATTTCAAAATTTCAATAGTTCAATACTTCAAATCTTCAATACCCAGAATAATTGAATAAAAGTATAAGCTATAAAAGAATTAAACAAGTAATAAACTAATTATTCAGAGATTAAATTCAGATTTACATACCGTGAATTGGGTCTAGCGATTTAGCGAAGTGAGCGAAGTCGAATGGAGAGCAGCGAGTCCAGCGACGAGCCGACGAACGGACGAAGCAGTGAATCACGAAGCAGCGACGGCGGCAACTCGACGGACGGAGGGACGGAGTGCCGGGAGTGGAGCCGACGAGCGAGAGCGGCGGACTGGCAGAGGATTTTCGAACTTCGAAGAGAGAGGAAAGAGGAAAGTTAGGTTTCACTTTTCAGAGTTCAGTTTTATTTTCTTCCTTCTTTCTGGCTTTCTGTCCATTACCCTTTTTTTTTTTTTTTTTATTACCCCCCATGTCCCCCACTCGTTCCGCCCCTGCATTTTGATCAAAATTTAAAACCACTAATAATTTAAAATTTCCCAAATTAAAGATATTTCAAAGCAAGACCACATCAGCAAAGTAAAAAGGAAATTTTGTTAATTACTACCTCAAAAACAGAGGCTTTGTGAATTACTACTCCAAAAAAATAGTTTTTAATTACTACCCCTAATTCATCTAATAGGACCGATTACTATCCAATTGCACTTTCCGGTAACTTAACTCACCTTATGACGTCATTAATCCGATTTAACCACAGTTCACACTAACTCTAATTTAATTAACTTGGATTTTGGAGGGGAGGGGTGGTGCCGTGGTGGTGGTGGAATTTTGGTGGGGAAGAGGTGGTGGTGGTGCAGTCATGGAGGTTTGAAGGGAAGAAGAAGAAGGGAGAAAAAGGGGGGGGGGGAAGTTTTATTGTTTTTTTTTTAATTTTAATTTTTTGGGTTAGTTAGGTTAATTAGATTATAGTTAGTGTGAATTGTGGTTAAATCGGAGTAATGAACATCATGAGGTGAGTTAAGTCACCGGAAAGTGCAATTGAGTAGTAATCGGTCCTATTTAGGTGAATTAGGGGTAGTAATTAATAAAAAAAATTGTTTAGGGGTAGGATTTCACAAAGCCTCTATTTTTGAGGTAGTAATTAACAAAATTTCCAAGTGAAAATTAAAAAATTAGAAAGCAAGGGTAGTTAACTAGTTATTGATTATTGATTCAATTTCTATAGAAAGCTCCTATCAAGTGAAGCAATTATTTAATGAACAGAGAGAGTATCAAAGAAACGATTAAGCAGCAACTACTGAGCATATCTTTCTTCAGTAATTTGTGAAAGCTGCATAATCCAACATCATGATTACATAGTTGGAAACACTGGGGGAAAGTTTGAATAGTTTGTTATCAATGTTTAATAAATACAGGCTTAACAACAGAGAAACCCTGTGTAAACTTTAATCTTCCACAGTTCCCACTAAGTTGGGTAAAAGATGTAACAGGAAGATGGCATGATCTGATCACAGGTCAAGTTTAACGGCTAAATACCATGAGTGCATGGCAAGGCAACCAAATGACAGCAGGTTAGCGAGAGAAGACAAGCCATGGACCATCCCAAACTTCTTGTTCATCGCTGCAAGCTGGGGGTTTTTCTTCGCAACTTCTTTGTTCTTCGTCCACCCGACTTCTTCCCCAATGTTGTTCTCTCGCTCTATCTTGTGCCTTTGCTTCATCATCTGCCACCAGCAACAAAGTAAGAGACGTATCAGAACAAAGACAAAAAGTCATAAAACACACAAAAAAAGAGATTCTGCAATCTAGAATACAGAAAGTTATGCAACTAAAGCCAAATTCAAGGAGCAGCATTGTACAAGTATACATTGTTAGAGGAACCAGCAATAAATCAGGCTGTAAGCAACTAAGCAAGTAGCTAAGTAGACATCATGTATGCATATAAGAATTAAATTGAACAAGAAGACAACATTGAGACGTAAGAACCTCTAAACATACCATATGGAATTTGTGAAACCTAAGATATATGCGATGAACAAGGCACAAGGATGGATATCAAGGAAATATAGAAAGAGAACATATACTACAGCTGCACTGCAACTTCTTTAACTTCAAGTAAGTTATGTAAAATGAGAGGGAAAGGTGGAATCAATTAGCTTCAAGCTACTTTCAAATCGGCATAGGCCTCATCTAAAATTTTGATATATTTCAGATGTCTTGGATCATATGCTACGTGACTCTAACATGATTTGAAATTTGATGCAGGAAATCTCAAGCACAAATGCACAACTAACAAGCCAATCAAAGCAAACCATTGGCATTGTCAAAATTTTATGGCCTTAGCACTACAAAATCACATAAATTCATAAATCTATCATGCTAAACACAGATAATACGATATGATGTTGATAACACAATAAAACTAGTTTTTCGAATGTCCTCTACACTGGTAAAATTACTCAACTAGAGCACTTCACCCAAAGACCACACCAATTGCAAAACCAAGACAAAGTCTATCAAGCACTATACGAGATAGACATGACTTTGACACAAAAAGTTAATGTGTAAAGTGAAATACACTTTTCATTCATCACTTATCAGAATTATCACACACCCTGGGTCGGCCTAATGTAAGATGCTACGGAATACTTCACTAGCTTGCTATAAAATTCAACAAGATCATCATACAGTGATACAGAAATCAATTATCCTCTGGCAACAGAAAAGGCAATAGTTCTACTTTCCTCTGCCGCAATTAATTTCAGACCTCACTGTAATTGCTAAAGTTGATCCCAAAAACAAACATGCAGTTTAGCCTCATTTAAATCTTACAAGCAACAGCAACTCTTGATTGAGATCATCTTTACACTAGTTGTACCAAAGACGAATATACTCCTAAGATGGTGAACTACACGACAGTATCTTCAATTAACACTGACAATACTAGTATAAATGACAAATATGAGGACTGTGAGGTTTATCTCTACAGTTAAATGATGTTGCACATCTCAGTACAGTCTTGCCACGATCATTGAAATGAACGCAGCCTCATCGTGATCAGAGTAACAAAACAAGAGCAAAAACACTTTCGACTATCTATTAGACTATTACGATATTACCAAGTATAACAAATGATCATAAGAACAATTGCAATACCAACAACACTAAATTGCCGATTCCGAATATCATGGGGTGACCACATGAACCAAGATTTTACTCCGATACTGGACAGCATAATTACATAATTCACAAACAATTCACAATTTTAACACAACACTTAAATTCCAACCAACATGATTCAGCTCTAACCAACAAATTAAAATTTTGATCAAGAAAAAAAATGACAAAAATATAAAAAAGCTAGAGAAAGAAATAACCTTGATGGTCATAGGAGTAAACACCAACAAATTGGAAAGATTAAATAGAAACGCAAAACCCAGAAATCCTAGCTGATACTTCTCAGTAGAAGACGATGATTTCCAAGGATGCAAATACCCAAACGACGCCGTTGAGACCGCGCAACAAACACCCACCAAAGTAAAATACGCTGGAAACATCTTACTCTGCAAATTCCCAAATTGATGCCTTGGCAAATTCCTAAAATACACCAAAAAAAACAAAATTATGAAAAAACAATCAAAACCCAGAAAAATTAAGAAGAAGGGCAGATAGAGTAATTTGGTACTTGAACAAAAAAAAAAACAAAAAAATTATGGAAGAACAACTAAATCACCGAAAAATTAAGAAGAAGGGCAGATAGAGCAATTTAACAATTGAACAAAAAGCAAAATCATGGAAGAAAAATTAAGAATAAAGGCAGAGAGAATAATTTGGTAATTGAACCAAAAAAAAAAAAAAAAAAAACCAAAATTATGGAAGAAAAATTAAGAGGGGCAGAGAGTAATTTGGTACTTGAACATGATGATGCCGCCGATGAAGGTGGCCCACAACGCGGCGCCCCATGCGGTGGAGAAGCAGAGGAGATGAGACAATTTGAGAATGGAGGAGAGAGAAGAAGAATCTGGGTTGTCTGATTTGAAGGTTTCAGGGGAGAAGATGATTCCGATTGCTAAGAATGATAGTGCTACTACAAATCTGGATAACCACCCCATTTTTGTTTGATTTTGGGTTGTTGAAATGGAGTGTTTGTAAAAGTAGATGAAATTGATCTTTGGAAATTGTTATTCTTTCCTTGACTTTGTATCTTTAATATTGGTTGTTCTTGACAGTTTAACTGTGATTGACTAACCTTTTTTGGCGCATTTATTTCTCCGTTTTGACGTAATAATGTTGTTTGTGTGGTTCGGGATGGCTTCTTCACCTCACCTAACCACCTTTGTAAATTGTAAGATTGTAAATTTGTAATATGGCCGTGTCGCCCTTGTGTCGTGGCTCATGCCAAGCTCATGTAATACGGATTTATGGTTGGATAAGTTTGACTTTCAACACCTTCTGTCAATTGTGTGGACCGTGTGGTATAGTAATTAGGGATGACAATGGGTAGGGTCTAAGCACGGTCTAATAACTTGTCGGGGAATTTTAAGACCCATACCCCATAAAATAAAAATGTGGTATCAGTCGCAATCACGGAAACGGTCGCAGTGTTGCGGTATTGAACGATGTGTTGATCGAGGGCCGAGTTGCGGTCATCCCGGTAGAAATTTAAAAAATATTTTTAGATAATTTATTTAAAATTTTAAATATATTTTCTTATTTATCATAAAATAATGAAAATAATAATAAGAGATTGAGTAATAATTACAGTGCTATGGTAGTCCATAACAATTTTTTTTCAAATCAAAAATTAAAAGTAAAAAAGAGAGGTTGAGTGGTCATAAAGTCAATTCATATAATATCACTAATAAATAAAGCCAGTCTTGCAGGCAGGCCACGAGATAGCGACACTTGGCATTCCATTTTTTCGTCAAGTGTCGCGCCACGTAGGCGACAAATATGTATTATTGTGACACATATGTTGCTAAGTAAGCGATTCTTGGATAGATTTTTTTAAGATAAAAAATATTATATAGAGTTTTATTATCACTATATATATATATATATATATATATATATATAATTAATCATAACTTTTAATAAATATTGTATAACTCAGTTTTATTTCCATCATAAAATTCCTTTCAAAAAGTTCTTTAAAACAAGATCCATTTATAATATGTTTAATTTAGTTAAAAAAAATAGAGAATCAGTAAAAATAAGTTTTAATCAATAAAAACAATTTTGGTTTGGTAAAAATTAGAGGTGATCAACAATGGCCCGGCCCGATCTGACCCGAAAATAGGGCGGGTTTGGACAAGCTAAAAATCATTTTTTAGTTAAAAGCCCGAACCCGACCCGAAAAAGCCCGTTTTGGCCCGTCAAGCCCGCCACTTTTAGGCGGGTTTGGACATGACATTTGGTGTTAAGGCCCGGCCCGGCCCGAATTTATGATCACCTCTAGTAAAAATACTTTCGGTCCAGTAAAATTAATTTAAAATCAATAACAATAATTTCAAGTCAATAATAAATTAATAACATAGATATCTATTTACAAACAAAACTACAAAAAGTACACTATTATATGATATTGTATGTCTAAATATCTTGCATTATCAAAAAGAACTATATGCCAATATCATATCATATCATATCAAATCACATCATATCACTAATAAAGCCGGTATCGCAGTCAGGAGACAACGACACTTGGCATTCCAGTTTTTCACCAAGTGTCGAGCCACGTAAGCGACAAATAGATATTATTGTGATTAGATTAAATGTCACTTTATATTAAATTGGATAGATTTGTTTAGGATAAAAAAAAAAGTATGCATAAAATAATTTATAATTCTTTTGAAAAAAATCTATCTTTTTATTAACAATAGAATTTTATGTATAGCAACACACCACATATTATAATTAATATGAATATCCAATTAACAATAGAATTTTACTCCTATACGAATAACCACGCAATTATAATTGTAAATATGGCCATGTGTAATTTTTTTTAGTCTACCATTGATTTACCATTAAAAGCTTTTGAATAAGATATTCTTCATATTCGGTTGTAATATTTTTGTGTATTTTTTTATTTCGTTAATGAAATTAAAGAAGTAAAAAAATATTAAAATTAGAAAACAACAGGAACTGTACAATACAAGAGAATCTTGAAATGAATTCAGATCAATGTTAGCAAGGTCTTAGAACTTTACGGGTTTTTCACTTAAAAGCGTTTCAATTTTTTTTTTAATTTTTTTTTTTTGTATGCTAATCATATTATTATTTTTTTCTGCTTATTTTAAGAAGAATGGAAGCAATAAACGGTTAAAGGTACTACTAATTTAATATTGCAATTACTTTCCGTTTGCTTTTTTATGTTAACTCAAATTTCTTAATTTATTATATTTACAAAATTATGTTCTAACCATTCACAGGCATAAAACATCACATGAACAAATAAACTATAATTTGATTAAGGATTTAGATATCAATAACGACAAACAAGACTGGATTTTGAAAGTAAGGATCATTAGATTGTGGGAAGTATTAAAACCAAAGAGGAACAATCAACAGTTTGTGGGAATTGGACTTAAGAACAAATGAGGTTGATGGAGGTTATATCATATACAAGAAGGTAAGAAAAATAAATGAAAGATAAAGGCTGAAACCATTATACCAAAGTGACTGAACAAGAAAAATGAAAGAAGTACTCTACTTTAATCACATTTCATTTGATAATATTCTTTTAACACAAAAAAACAGGAAAAAAAAAAGAAGTTACTTTCATTCTTTTACAAAGCCTTTGTAACCCATTTACCAGTCATATATTACAAATGATCCAATTAGGCCAATAATATAATATGTTGATTTTATTGTTAAAAAAAATAATTACTTTTAACTTTTTATTTATTTTTTTTTTTTTTTTTTACCGACGCACTCTTCTTTTCACAAAATTATACTCCCTCTATTTTTTTAGCGTCCCATTGAAATTTAGCACATATGTCGATATAGAACTTTGATAAACAATATCTTAATTTCATTTTTCTTTTCTTATGTATACTTCACAAACATTGGTCATAGTAGATCAAGTGAATATAGCGCAACTTACAAAAACAGAAAATAATAACAAACTTGAAAAAAAGTAACAGGTAGTGTTCCCACTCTCTTTTTGTATCTACCATTTTAAAAAATATATAAATGCTACTAGTAATAATAATAAAATAATACAAAACATGCCCACAAATAAGTACACTTTCTGAAATGGGTATTCGGGACAACACCCGGGGCACGTACTAGTATACAATAAAGTGGAGCATCATACAGCTGTCCCAACCTTCTTCTAACTAATTACAATTGTCCCACTTACCACATATTTACCTCGTTCTTATCAGCTCTCAACCCTTTTTACTTTCTTCTTCTTTCTATCTTAATTTCTCTATGATGCGGTTGTTATGGCTTGCTATACACTGACAACAATGGAGTCCGCCACATAACTCCGACCAACTCACGCCTTCAAGGTTTTTTTATTTCGGGCGTTTCAATTGTGTATCGGTGGTATCGGTAAAAAATGTGGGGTTTTCAAAACTCCATTACAAAACGGTAAATCTCGTAACGACAGCCTTCAAATCCGTTACATCTCGGTCGCATCGCGATGTAACGACCGAGTTTTTATTCTATGTCATACCCTACTCGGACTCGTAAGGTCTAAGATTTTAAGACTCTTATCTGTACCCCATGGGTCTATCAAGGTCTGGGTAGGGTCCAAGGTTTAATTTGGGTCCTTTATCAACTTTTTTCCCAAATTTAAATCGTTTGGTTTTTAATATACGATTATATATACTCTTTTTGTGTTTTAATAAGTGTTACACTTTAATCAACGTGTAGTTTTAGACAATTTAATTGATTTAAATAAAATTGAGGTAAGTGGGGTAGTTGGAGTATTAAAAAATTATAAAAGAAATATAGTGGCGTTAATAATTTATTGAAAAGTAATAAATGTGAGTGGAAAAAGATTATAAAAAAACAGTAGTGAGTTTGGATGAGAATCATGAAAGGAGAAAAATATAATATTAAAAACGTATAAAAAAAAATAATCAATTCAAAACTTACTGAAGCTCAACGATTGTTTGAAATCTATTGGCTACATCACATAAAGTGAGCGCTAAAGCAATTCAAGCTCGATGAGATGAACTCTTTTTTTTTTCTTTTTTCTTTTTTCTTTTTTTCTTTTTTTTTTTATATTCAACTGAGGCTAAGAAAACCAAAGAGAAAAGCTAAAAACCAAACAACAAACAAGAAAACAAAAAATAAACGTAATCGATGAGATGAACTTTGATAGGCTATGATGCACGGACACGCCTGCCAAGTGGCGTGTCCGAGTCGACACGCGTGTCGGACACGGACACGCGTGGGACACGGGGGGATACGTCTTGGACACGCGAAAATCCGTGTCCGTTTTTTTTTTTGAATTTCTTCTGTACGGACACGGGTCGTGTCTCACCCAGACACGGTCCGTTTTGTGATGGACACGCAATTACGGCTTTACAAGCCCAACTTCCTCCATTCTCTCTGACTCTCTCACATTCTCAATTCCTCCATTCACAATTCACAAACCTACTGCCTTACTCAAGCTCCCTGAGTCCCAGACCGTCAGCCACTCACCGTCGCGCCGATAACCGCCGTCGCTTCACCTGCTGCTGCTGGTCCAGACCGTCACTCAGTTCACCGTCGCTTCGTCGCCTACAGCCTACTTTCACAGAGACACAGACTTCACTCGCCGCTCGTTGTTCGTCCTCAGCCACCACCCCAGTGTCGCCAGCCACCAGTCCACCAGACCACCACCAGGTAACTCGCTCAACCTAGGTTTCAGGCCGTGGCTTGACTGGCTTTTGTACTTTGTTTTTTTTTTAAATTCAATTAATTCAGTCGCTAACTCGCTCAACCTAGGTTTCAGGCTGTCGTTGTTCGTCCTCAGCCACCAGTCCACCACCCAGTACCGTCCGTCGCCACTCGCCAGCCACCAGTCCACCACCAGGTAAGGGTTATGTGACTTCTGTCTTCTGTACTTTGTTTTCTGAAATTCAATTGCTGAATGCTGATGTTAATTGTGAGGTGGAGCCGTGGAGGCAGTATCACTGTAATTCGCAATTATTAATTGTTAAATGTGATGTTAATTGTTAATTGTGATGTTAATTGTGAGATGGGTTCAGCTGTCAAATTGTATTGTGCCTTGGTTGCTGAAATTGTATTGTAGTGTTGACTTGCTGACTTGCTGGTTGCTGAAATTGTATTGCTGAGTTGCTGACTTGCTGGTTGCTGAAATTGTATTGCTGACTTGCTGGTTGCTGAAATTGTATTGTTGTGTTGCTCACTTTGCTGTGTTGTCTTGCTGAAATGTGCTGTTGTGTTGCTGAAATTGTCAGGAATGTCTTCTAGTTCCTCTGCTTCATGCAATGTCAGTGGTAGTAGTAATTCATCTGAGTCAATGAAAGACCTCTACCCTTTGTGGAAGTTTGTTGTTAAGGGTGATAAAATATCGGGTGGTGGAGGAAATTATAATTGGAAATGTAACTTTTGCGGCGAAGTTAAAAATGGTTCATACACTAGAGTGAAAGCTCATTTGCTAAGTGAACAAGGGAAAGGGATTCAAACTTGTAATAAAGTGAAAATTGATGACCTTGCTAAACTAAGATCGCTTCATCGTGAATCCGAGGATTATAAAAAATCTTTGTTACCAAAAGTTCCACCTTTTTCAAATGAACCCATATCTTCTCACACATCAACTGAAGCTACATCAATGAGACTAGGTTCATTTGATAATGTAAAGAAGAGGAAATCAAAAAATACAATTTCCGATGCTTTTAATGTGAAATCTCGTGACCACTTGGATTCTGAAATTGCTAGAATGTTTTACACAGGGGGGTTGCCTTTTAATCTTGCTAGAAACCCTTACTATGTTAGTTCATATACAATGGTTGCCAATTCTAATCTCTCTGGTTATAAGCCTCCCGGATACAACAAACTTAGAACAACTTTGCTTTGTAAAGAGACAGAAAATGTGGATAGGTTATTACAACCTATGAAAGCCACATGGAAAACAAAAGGTGTTAGAATTGTTAGTGATGGGTGGAGTGATCCACAAAGAAGGCCTTTGATTAACATTATGATTGCTTCTGAAACGGGTCCTATGTTTATGAAAGCTATTGATTGCTCGGGTGAGATTAAGGACAAAGATTTCATTGCTACCTTACTAAGTGAGGTGATTGATTTTTGATGATGTACTTGGTGATGGTGAAGAATGAAACTATTAGTACTTTTGTTTATTTTATTTATGATTTGTAAAACTATTATTAAGACATGTATTTGGTTTGATGGTTTCTTGATATGTATGAGACTACGTTCGTACACTTTGTTTATTTACTTGTTTTAACAAAATTGTGTGTTTTGAGGCTAATTATTTAGTGTTTTATTGAATAGGTTGTCAAATTCTCGTTTTTTTGATATATTATATGCCTTGTTATATGCCGTACCTGTGTCCCCTATTTCAGGATTGCCGTTTTCCCGTGTCCGTATCGTGTCCGTGTCCGTGTCCGTGTCGGTATCCGTGCAACATAGTTGATAGGAAGCACTACCATACGTCCAAAAATCTACTTCTTTTTTTTTTTTCTTTTTTTTTTTTGCAAATATTAAAAAAATGAAAAAATAATGATATATTTAATATTGAATTTTTTTTAATATAAGTTAGATGATATAAAAATTATCAATAATCTATCAATACACATAATCATATGGGTCAACAATGTGCAATATATATATATATATTCACGTAATTTGTTAATTTATATATTATTTAATATAATTTGTTCATGCTGATTGAACCCACTTATGAAAAGCTAGATTCGCCATTGTCTGAAAACAGGATGGCTACGTTGTTGACTATCGATTAAAAGCTTCAACGAGTACCAATGTCTATTAATAACGAATGATGATAAAATTACGGGTCACCCAACCTCTTTCATGCTATCGTATAACCAAATAATATTTCGCAATGATTATGTGTTGGAACCGAGGTTGTATTGGAAGTTGTTTATCTTTTAACTATAGGTGATGATTCACCCAATCACCAAAAGCATTTTATGATGATTTACATACACATTATGGAAGCTGCGCGTAACAGAGAATTGGAAGGGTACATAAGATCAATTATGCAACAAAGATTCTCGTTGTTCGCATTTCATTCACAACTGGGGCAACCTTTCAAATGTTGTGGTAAAAGCATAAAATAACAATGACAATTTTGAGTTTGAACAAAATTTTAAGGATGAGAAGTTAGACAAAACTGTTTAGATGTTAGGTTTAGTTAAGATGCCAAACCCAAGAAATAAGAAATAAAAGGAAGTGATTGACATCAATGAAAGTGTTATACTGTAGAATTTGTGTTTATTTGTGGAGAATTTGGATGGATTCTCAGTGAAACGATGATAGATAGAATCAAGGGATCAACAAAATCATTGGAATTGTATGGCATAAAAGTATAACAATATTAAAATGGTGTTGGATAATTTGATCGGATTCAATGAATGATATATTCAAAAAATATCTATCTATCTATCTATCTTATAAAGATAAATAAATAGTGCAAAAGCATATAAATAAACAAATAAATTAAATTGTCTAATATGACTTATATTCGTGTTAGTGTATGCACGACATCGACGCGACATCGAAACTAGTATTAGTTTTTCCCTTGCCATACAATTAACTCATTCCTAGAAATCGAGCTGGTTGTCATGCAACATTAGGAGGCTCCTGTGCATTAACTTGAAGCAAAAAAAGTTTATTTACCTCCGAAAGTAACATCACATCAACCACCACATTTTAGCATTGATGCCAACATTACATCTAATGAGAAGGAACATAAGTATATATGAATTATTACTCAAGAATTAATTTTGTACACGGGCTAACTACACCTAATGCCAAAAATTCTTTATTTCAAACAATCTAATCGAAGATAAACAAGAATTCTTGAAAATGTTAAAATTCATCATGCAACACTCTCAGTAGTGCTTGCATATAAAAGAGGTTTGGTTGTTCTCGAGGAGAGCAGGATCAATTTATGTTGATGAGATTATTGCACGTTTACATTTTCATATCTTCATCGTACTTAACCAACTTATTACTTATTCTGGTTTAAATTAGAAAAAAGACCAATCTAGAATGACTTAAAATATTCGGAGTAAATTCTTATTTTTAACATCAAATATCTAAAATTTTACATTATTCTTAAAAGTAAATCGAGTATGATGTATTGTGTATATTGGCACTCCGTAATGTTCTTAAAATTTTACTTTATATCCTAAAAGTCTTAAGTAAAGTCGTACACATCCTATTAAATGATTGTGTTTGGTAAAAAGATTCGCTTACCATCCCCTCTACATTCGAGTAATTAAATCGGGGGATTAAAAAAGTCTTGTAAAACTTATGGAGGTCCAAATGGACAAAAACCAAAACCTTGACCCAATAAAAACAAGACTAGAGTTCCAGAACAATCCACGTGTTAACCTCTTAAAATTTCTCTATTTTTTTTTTTTAAGTTCTCCCGCCACTAACCCAAAAATTTCAAAAAAATTAAAAAAAAACCCAAAGCTTCTCCAACACTACAAGTCTACAACTATTTCTTTCTCTCTCCTCTGTTTAACTCTCTCTCCAAAATTCCGCCATTTTCAAGCTCTCACAAAAACTCTGTAAAAATGATGTACGATTCATCTATCTTCTTCGGAATCCGCTTCTTCCTTGCTGGATTCACTCCTCAACAAATCCTCGAGGTTTATCAATTTTTAACTAATTTATTTTTGCTTTAATTTTTTTTTTTTTTGGGATTAATCTGATTTTTGTTTTTCTGGAAACAGTATAAATCGAGGATTTTGAGTGAAGGAGGAGTTATTTATGATGAGTATAGTCCTGATTGTACTCACGTCGTCGTCCACAACATCGCATTTGTAATCTCTCTCCTTAATTTTTATTTTATTTTTGATTTATGTTTGTAATTTATGAATTGAACATGAAATTTAGATTAAACATGAGAAAATTAAGGAGAAATGAAAATGAAGATAAGTGTAAATTTGCGTGATTGAAAAACTCTATTTTGATATCTGAACAATTCAATTAAAGTATTCCCTCCGTTTCTAAATGTTGTTCGTGCTTAAGACACTTTTTGTGAGACAATCGCCGCTAAAGTAGGAATAACATTGTTACGAGGAGGTAGTGGAATTTATATTTATATTGATGTCAATGAAGCTAAAGGAGCTTGGAAAGTAAAGGGAAATTGACGATGAGACAAGGTGTATCTTTGAGGGTTTGAAATGTTCTTTTTTCATTCAAACACTTAAACTCCGTATGACACTTAGGTTTACTAAAATTCGGTTTATCACCAATTGTCTAAGCTTAGACAATACATAATTTTGTTAGGTTTAGTGACTTGGAGGTGTATAGTATGAGTTTATTGTTGGTACTAGGTAAAATGTAACAATTTTAGACTGCTATTTTTCGGCTTTTCTGCTAAATGATGTCAAGTTTCTAGGTTTTACTGCATTCATTTCTTTAAATTAATAAGGTTAAATTAGTTTATGAGAGGACACTTGGAGTGGTTTCCAATTTTGTTCGCATTTGTTGGTATGTTGCATGGTGATTGTTAGTGTTACTCGTAATTGCTAATTGTGTGTGTGTGTGAACTGTGAAGTGTAATTGTTTCACTTGCCCATTCTATGTAGGATGATCTGTGTGTGGGATGTGTAATTGTTTCCCTTGCCTATTTTATGTAGGATGATCCTATTTGTGTTACTGCTAGAAGGGACAAGAAGACGCTTGTAACAATTATATGGCTTAAGGACAGTTTACGATACGGAGAACCGATTGGCATTGGTAATGTAAGTTTATTCACTCTTTCATATTCGCCCTCTCTCTTTGTTCCAAAGTGACCTCTCTATAGTATACAATGCCGAGACCATGTAAATCACTGCTTATCATTTAGCTTGCTATAATGCTATGATTTGATTATGTTCTGCTTCTTCATGGCTTTCTTATTTCCTGTAGTTTTGTGCATTTGATCTGTCTTTGACCAAGCTCAAACTTGCTCTTTAATTCACTCAACGTGCCTTTTTTGGCTTTTAAAGCCTCATTAAGTCGGCTTCATGTTTACTCGCAGATTATGTATAGGCCACTGAAGGATCTGAATGGAATTCCTGGTGCTAACAAGCTTGTCATCTGTTTGACTGGATACCAAGGGATGGATAGGGAAGACATGAAGGTATTTGTACATATCATCAAGTGTCCCTTGCTCTGTTGCTTGAGCTGTTCATTTTATGGTTACTTGTTTGTTTATGTCATGGATGATCATAGATAATGGGTTAGTTCATCCTTTGTGACTGTATGTAATATATTTCTTTGAAATTCTTCTCAGACGATGGTGCAATTAATGGGAGCACAAATTTCTAAACCACTGGTGGTGAGCACAGTTACTCATCTTATATGCTACAAGTTTGAAGGTTAGTAATTGCATTTTCAGTCTCTCTTCCCTCCCTCTCATGTTCTAGTCCATGGAGTCAATTCTAAACGATAAAGCTTGTACCTTCTATTATGCAGGTTGTTATTTTGTAACTGAAGTTGTTTGCATCATGATGCTGATTCCTTCTTTTGAATTTAACTAGCAAGATGCTTGTTCATCAAATGTGATCTTGTGTTAAATGTATTAGCATAATAAATTCTTCTGAAAGAAAATAGATCCCAATCATCCTAACTAGGAAATGTGGATACACCAAAAAGGAGAAGCAAATAATAGAATTAAAACATATTCGGTTCATCATTTGTTGTCTTTTTCATGAGCTACTTTATACTCTTGTGTGTAAAATCCGGTGCATCTTGAGAGTTTTGTGTTCAATGCTCAGGTGTGGAATATACTTAGAGTTTGCAATCCCTGATTCGACCTGATATGAACTTGACCAGAGAAACCTGAATTCAACTTGAACCAAAGCCAAACAACATGATTTATCATATATTGTACTAATATTAATATTGCATTATTTCGATTTTCTTAGCACAACCTAAATTGATTTGAAACCAAATCTTTCACCCAAATTGCCACTAGAACTTTGATGTTCCCTCTAAAATTTTGAATATATTACGGAGTATTTGGCTGGTAGGATATGACAATCTGCACACAATGGTACTTTTGATTTTGAGGGTGCACCTCCATGATTTTTCAATTATGAGCATTTGACAACTGAAATTGTTCCACATTCAAAAGACATTACATTATTTAGCTATTATGTATAATTGTAAGCATTAGCTGCTTTGTTTCAGCTCATACCTGAATATATAGTGGAGTCGGTGGACAGTTTGAAAATATCTTCTTTTCAGCTCTTGATAAGAAAGTTATTTAATCCTTTTGCTAATATACTCATATCTAGAGTAGCTTTGCTGAACAAGCTCAATATGACAAAATTATCTTCTCTCTTCACAGGGGAGAAGTATGAGCTGGCTAAGAAAATGAACGTTACAAAAGTTGTCAACCATCGATGGTTGGTAGATTGGTATGTCTAATTCTTGTATTTCAGATTTGGTTTAGAAATGTCCATAGATGATGTTTCTTGGTTTGCAAAATCATATTGTTGTGGTAATAATTGTCAAATCTTTCTTATTTTGTAATATTTTCTTTGCTATGCAGCCTAGAGGCTTGGAAAATTCTTCCAGAGGAGCCTTATAGTAGTAGAAGGTAATCTATGCCCCAGTTTTTGCTAAATGATGGTTTATATTGGATAACTTTAAGCTTTGAAGTGATGGTATTTACCTGTAAGTTTTAGAAGTCAGTGCTTGTTCTTTTATAAACTTGTATTGATTTTATTTGCTCGTTCGTTTCTCCTTTGGTTGCTTGTCTTATTAATCTCTTCAAATCATTAGATTAATAACATTAGTTATCTCTCTCCTACAGTGGCTATGAATTAGACATGGAAGCTGAGGCTAAAGATTCTGAAGACGAGGTTGAAGATATTTCTGGAAGATACAATAATGGGATTACTATAATGCAAAATGAAATGGGGAAAGCCCATAGTCATTTTGTGATTGCAAGGAATTTGCCAGATCCTTCTACACAACAAGGGTTCTCTCATAATGATGGAAAGTTGCTGCAGTCTGATAATTCTGATTTTGATAATGTTAAATTTGATAATGGTGATGAACAAAGAGCTGCGTTTCCTCCATCTAATCAGACTGGAAATGGCCACCCCTCTACTTATGGAAATCCAAAGAATGCTGGTGATTTTGATGCTGAGAATTTTAATAGTCTAAAACACTCAAGGAAGACTCCACAGAAAACTGCTCTTCCGTTGCATGTTGAAGAGGGCTTGGGGAACACAATTGGATCATTAAAAGCTCCATTGAGCTCAAGAAAAACTCCAAGGTCTGGGGCTTCTTTGCAAACTGCAGGAAAGTCTGGCAAGTCGGGTGGGAGATCGAAAGATAAATCAACGAAAAAGATAATTGAAGACATGCCTACCTTTAATCTGGACATAGACAAGGCAGAAGTTGCTTCAGGTTTCCTTGGTGAACCAAGTTCCAAAAGACATGTTGAATCTGATGTTAGCAAGCTTAATTCTTTGAAATCAAGAAAATCACCAGCAAAGTCTAGTCTCTCCTTGCAATCACCAGGAAAGTTGAGCAATCAAGATGGAAAATTGGAAATTCCTCTTGCTGAAAAGGTGATTGCTGATGTGTGCACCTCCAATATAGGGTCAGACCAAGGAAAAGCTACTTCCGAATTTAGAGCATTAAGTGCAGAGAAGGCTAATTTATTTGATGAGAACGGTCCGGGTGCTTTTCTTCCACAAAAGAGGACTTCAGATGGTGCTTCTCACTCTACTCCCAAATCTCAGAAGTTAACATCTTCAGCCAGTAAACGAGTTGATGCATCAGAACCTAGAACCAGCGTGAATTCTTCTCATGAGAAAAGGAGTAGTGGTGCTCTTAATTCTGGCTGCCAAATAGGAGATGAGTTTGCCACACCATCTGCAGGCAGGTCATCTCCTAATGTTTCATCTTCCAAGCTCAAAGCAAAGACCGTTGCTTCCTCTAGATCTTTGGCTTTCGAGATGCTGCAAGGCGGTGACCCTATGAACACAGATTCTCCAACTACCCTCTTACCAATAGTGTTTCTACTTCACCAGTTGCTGGTAACAACAATGGGCAACCCCAGACTCTGCAGAAAGTCGCTGATACTTCTCCTGGCACCAATGACTTAGAGGCTGTGAGGTCTGGTAATCTCGAGCTTAACTCTACTGATCAAAATGATATTCCAAAGCCATCAAGGAAGAAAATGGTGGCTAGGAAGACTTTGGGTTCCAAATCTAAAGTATGTAGACGAAGTGCTGATGTTCAGAGAAGTTCTGCCAGCAAAGACTCTTTTCGAGATGATGCAGCCATACACTCAGCTGGTCAGGAAAATAAAGAGCCACCTACAGCTTCACCTGCTGCTGATAAAGTTTTTGTGCCCCCTGCAGTAGAAGAGTCAAATGGTGTGGGTTCAAAGCCTCACCTGGGTACTGAAAGCAATAATTTTGCTACACTTTTAGATGATGAAACCGAAGCTCCACCAGAATTAAATGTGGATGATGAACCATTGGCAGCTGAGCAGTCGCATTTAGTGAAATCAAAATCCGGAGAGGCATCTGGCATGCTGATTCATCAAATAGATGGGCAGGGAATGCCTGTGGCTGCAACTGTTGGTATAAAGAAAAACTTGATTTCGCAGAAGGGATTGGCTGTTAAAGCTAGGAAAAAGTCTCTGCTTGCTGCAAAGGATGCTGCTAAAGATGCAGATGAGGCTGAAGCCGGAAAAGTGAAGGAACAAGTTGTTGGTGCTGCTGCAAAAAAAAGACATGGTACTCTGTTGTTGAATAAGTCAAAGAGGCCTGTTGAAGCGGGAAAAGAAATTGAACCCATTTCTTATGATCGTGTTGAAGTAGGAAGAGAACATGAACTTGATTGTTATGATCAATATGAAAATAAGGGTGGTAAACATTCAGGGAAGTTAGCTGTGAAGAATAGGCGTGGAACTCTACTATCAAACAGGTCAAAGGGCCATGATGAAGTGGATAATGAAAATAACCTAGTTGTTGTTTGTGACGATGGTCAAAATGGCAGTAAAAATTGCCCTGCAGATCTGGCTGCTCCTTCCAACATGACACTGGACAATGTGGAAATCAAAAAGAAAAATGACACTGGTGTTTGTAATGACCAAGGCACAAGCAAGGTTTCAAAGTGCTCTGGGAAGTTAAAAATGTCAGATGGCCCTGCCGAAGCAGAAATGGAAAATGAGCCGGTCCTTGATGGTGGACAATACCCTAGGAAGAAGGTTGGTGCACCTGGCATCTTAGATAGTTCTATGGAGGTTGACAAAGAAAACGAACCTATCCTCGCTACTAATCTAGATACTAGTAAGGGTGTAAAACGTGCTGGTAAATTAGCAGGGAAGAAGAGGGGTGGCACTCTAGTGTTAAACAAGTCTGAGGGGCAAGTCAATGAGGAGAATAAGAATAAGCCAGATCTTGATGATGAAGAAGTTACAAATAAAGATGGAATATTCACTGAAAAGCTGACCAGTAAGTCCAATTCGACAGTTAATGAGAGTGATGCTGTTAAGGGTGGGAAACGTGCTGGTAAATTAATTGGGAAAAAGAGGCGTGGCACCTTAGTTATAAACAAATCTGAGGTGCAAGTCAATGAGGGGAGCGGAAATAAATTGGTTCTTGATAATGAAGTTGATACAAGTAATGGAATTGAGAAGCTCACCAGTAAGCCCAATTTGACAGTCAATGAGAGTAATGCAGCTAGCAAGGGTGGAAAATGTGCTGGTAAATTACCTGGGAAAAAGAGGCGTGGCACTCTAGTATTAAACAAATCAGAGGTGCAAGCCAATGAGGAGAGCAGAAATAAATCGATTCTTGATGGTGATGAAGATGCAAGTAATGGAAAGGAGGAGCTGACCAGTAAGTCCAATATGATAGTCAATGAGAGTGATGCAGCTGTTTCAAATCCTTTGAACATTGAGTTGAAAAAGGTTAAAAATCAAGCAGCATGTTTCATACTTTGTGGACATAGATTACAGAGAAAAGAGTTCCAACAACTCATCAAGCGTCTCAGAGGAAAAGTATGCCGAGATTCTCATCAATGGTCATATCAGGCTTCACATTTTGTTGTTCCAGAACCAATCCGTAGAACAGAAAAGTTCTTTGCTGCTGCAGCATCTGGGAGGTGAATTTCAAATATTCTGTTTTTTTCCTTATTTTTTGTACTACGTAATTTATTTTCAAGACTGTTAATAGCCATTTGCCTTTTTAGCTTGTTAATTTCTGTCGTGATTTGTCTCAAGTACAGTTGGATTTTGAAGACTGATTACTTGACTGCAAGCAGTCAAGCCGGAAAGTTCTTGCCCGAGGAACCTTATGAGTGGCACAATAGTGCCCTCAGTGAAGATGGTGCTATTAGTTTCAAGGCTCCAAGAAAGTGGCGCCTTCTAAGAGAGAAGACAGGTCATGGTGCTTTCTATGGCATGCAAATTGTAATATACGGAGAATGCATCGCTCCACCTTTGGTATCTTTCTTCTTCCTTTCTTCGTCATTGTCTTTCCCAGAATTTTTGATATATTCTCCCCGTCTCCCAAAGCTAAGCTATACCAATCTGGCATGTCACATGTTTTTCTAAACTTTGGACCCACTGGCCGCACTACTACTACTTTTTTCTACATTCCTAGATAGCTGTACTCTTAGGCAATTTTAACTAAGTTACTATTTGGGCCGGTGAGAGGAGAGTTAAGATTTTTTTGTTCAGTTGCTTGCTATTGCATTCTCAATATGCTGTTAATGTATCAACAGGATACCTTAAAGCGAGTGATAAAGGCTGGAGATGGGACTATCCTAGCTACTTCTCCACCTTACACCCGTATTCTTGAATCAGGGGTGGATTTTGCCATTGTTAGTCCTGGGATGCCACGCGTTGATATATGGGTACAAGAGTTTCTCAGACACCAAATTCCTTGTGTTTTGGTTGATTACTTGGTGGAGTATGTTTGCAAGCCTGGATACTCTCTTGATAGGCATGTTCAATATAATACTCACGAGTGGGCTGCTAAGTCATTTTCAAAGCTCTTGAGCCTGTCAGAAGAGGTTGTAGCCGATGCTGCTACACCACCAGATGATCAGGTTAGTGATGACCTAGCATGTCAAGTTTGTGGCTCAACTGATAGAGGGGAAGTCATGTTAGTTTGTGGTGATGAGAGCGGTTCCACTGGCTGTGGAATCGGAACTCACATTGATTGTTGTGATCCTCCTCTTGAGAGTATCCCTGAAGAAGACTGGTTTTGTCCCAAATGTACTGATTAACTTCGTAAATGTTTATATCAGTGATTTTTCAAAATGTCAGCAAGGAAGTTGGGAACGAATAAAGGGAACATTATGGGTTATTTGAAGCTGCGTATCGCAACTAAAATCTCGGCCATTTCACCTTCATGTACATCTCCTTAGTATTGTAAATTTTTGTAGATGTTATAGGGACTAAGAGTCATGTAATCAATGGCTCAAAGCACAATCTAAGTTAAAAGTTATGTGTAGTACAAATGTACAAGTATCTTTGTGCTTTTGTATTTTATCTAGACTAAATTTTTCATATGAAGCTTGTGTTAATAATTATGTTTTACTTTATATTTTTGCATGATGAATCTTGAGATAAGAGAAAGCGTTATATTTTACTGCATATGTATTTTTGGCTGCTTTATTAAAGAGTTTGGTGTATAAATAATTTTACTCAGTAATAATCTCTGATTTATGTTCCTTAGATTCCTTGAATTATAATCAGTTAAATGGGCCCATCTTTTAGCATATTAAAAGGCTGTGCATTTTGGTTATGTCTGGGCCAATCATTTAGATTACAAGCTTTTTACAGATCTGGGTTGCCAACCCAATCACGGCCTTTTTATGGCTTCAAGGTCCAAAAGCAACTTCGGCTTTTACAATGTTTGTATAAAGTTGCATTGGTTTCATCTTAAGAAGATATTTTGCGGAAATTTTAATTTCTATAACATAAATGTTTTGATAGTTTTTTTTAATAATATTACTTCCGTTTCATATTATTTGCAATGATTTGACATAAAGTGTGAGTGCATGAAAAGTGTTTAATTGCTGCAAATAATATGAAACAGTATTTATTAAAGGATATAATTTTTTTAATTGGAGCTAAAAATGTATTTTCTTTTATTGTATTTTAAATTTTTTATTATTGCTTATGTGCTGTTGTGGTAGAAATCTAACTACACTAGAGAGCGAAAGAGCAAAAAAAAAAAAAAAAGTGGTTATAATGGCTTTATATAGTAGTACAAACATTTGAAATATGGATGGTTTCATATACTTCGTACCTATCAAAGCCTTTGATTGAAGGGAAGGAGCATTCTAACGTTTGAAGTTAACGAATTTTAATTAGTACACAGCGAAGTTGGTGAATGGTGATTAAAAAATTATATCTATTATTGTTTTACATAAGATAAAGATGATTATTCGTTTGCATTGTTTGATGTTTACTTACTTTCCTTTGGCCCAACTTAAAAAATTTAACTCTCTTCTCCCTATCAAACGCATCCATCCTACTTGAACTCGAACTTGAAATTATGAGATTATTCAAACTTACTGGCTTAATGGCTACACCTGACCTTCATGTCAATCTTCTCATGTACACATACTCAATCATTCTACTTCTATAAAATTTGACTTGCATAGTACTTTGTATTTGAAACAAGAGCCGATTGAAGTTGGTCCTATTGATTTCGAAATTTGGACTAGAAAAGAATGGACCTAATGTCCCAAAACCTAAACACCCATACTTTCACTATCTCATAGAAACACTCCAAATAAAATAAGAATCAAAGAAGTTCAAATCAACAAAACAAAACAAAAGAGTAAGAATCATAAATCATAAAAATAAACCAAGCCAACCCAAACTAAACCATAAAACGTCAAGAAAATGAATGTCAGTACCTCTGAAAACTCCAACCTTTTTTCAACCAATCATACTTCTCATTAACCATCCATATGCCCAGATTTTAGTTTTTCTGACTTTGAAAATGAGTGAAGAAAATTTCCAAAAATAATAAATTTCTTATAAGAAAATGATTTTTTTGTAATTTTTTTTTTTTTGAAAAATATAAAAAATGAAGAAGAGCACATGAATGATTCCATCACATGGTAGTGACTGACATCATCATATTTCATATCTGTCCACCATCTTTCCTCTTTCCGATGTTCCCAACATTCAAACATCACGTGCTTACCGCCATCCTCTCATTCTTTTTTTTTTTTTCACCATTTTTTTAAAAAATCTTCTGATAATTTTTTTTTCAGAAGTACATAATATTACTACTTAGAGACAAAAATTCAGTTCCAATTTTATCTCTATAATAATTCTTACTACTATATATATATTTATATACATCCAATTATATACATGTAGTAGCTTACAAAATCTTGATGTGTGTGACATAGATTAGTGTAAAGAATCTATGATGATATTGTATTTTCACCCCTTCATCAATGAAATGTGGTGCACAAATTGTACCTCATGTTATGAAATATAATATAAACGGTGATGATGATCTTGAAATGGGTTTGAGTATACATGATTAATTTAACAATGCTTTTTTTTTTTTTTTTTTTTTTTTTTTTTTTTTTTTTTTTTAATGTAGCTAGTATACTAGTGTTATTGTATGATCATACGTGGATTATTATGATGCAACTAAATATAGAAGTTTGTCTGATTTTATTATATATGATTAAATTTTTTAATATCACATACAATAACTTTATATATATTGTGAGAATGTTATATACAAGTACATGATTTTCTTATTCCTTATTAACTCCTAGGATAGCTATACAACATATATACATGTAATAGTTGCCTTATATCAACCCTTAGAGTAACTTTAAAATTAAAAGGTTTGTCTTATTGCCTATTAGTATTATAATTTGTTATGCACTAGAATCATTTTTTCAAAGTAAGAGAATAAAACCCTATGTAGTAAAAATTTCGCACAGAATAATCTGTCGTGAATAGTAAGCAAGACCCTTAAAAGCTGAGGGAACGGATCGGATAAGGAAACCCCTACCTCCTAAAGAGCTACCTCGTGGAATTGAAATACTTTATTATGTTGAACTTTTGTCTTATAATAATGAAGACTGCGTATTTCATTTATATTACGTGTGCCAACCAACAAGTTACAAAAATTACAAGACAATACAGAGCGATGGAGCAACGAATGTTGTTGATTGCTATCAAAACTTGGTAGTTTGGGATACAATGACTTGAAAATTAATGATATTATCAATGAAATACAATGCAAACTGGTACAATATAATCATGTAATGCAAATTGACATAAACAATGAAATGAATAATATCTTTCTTATAATAGTAGCTCTTAATTGTTGTCCACTAATTGTTCTTGCTTATCTTAAGGAATATGTGAAGAATAATTAGACCGTTTAAACTAGTTGAAGCAATCAAATATCTCATTGATAAAACCATCAAAGATCATCTCATACAGTATCATTTTATAAGATAAAATATTACTTTGAGTTTATTAAAATAAGTTAGACTAATTACATTCTTGAAATATTCCAACTTCCAACTCAATATTCTGTACCATATCCATATATTTAACTCCCTATTTGACTCTTAATATTTATAAGTATAGGGCCATTACATTTATTCCCATTGCAAAGTTGAAACTCTGAACTTGACCAAGTGTACATTTTATTTATTTTGTGTGGCCAAAAGTTTGAGAGAATGCTACAAAGCCCTCTGACTACTATTTTTTTATGATATATATTTAAAAACAAAAATTTTAGCTGAGATTTTTTTTATTTTTTTATTTTTTTTGAGGGAAAATATTTTAGCTGAGATATAATGTATTGAAATAATTGTTTTTACAAGAATATGTTTCTTAGCTTGTTAAACCTTTGCAAAGAGCAATACCTTCCTTTACTTTCATCACAAGATAAAGCAAGGATAAAATAACTTGAAAAACAAATTTAAATACTAGGACTTATAAAAAAGAAAAAAACTCAAAAATTAAACTTCTTCCTTTTTTCTCTTTTTCTTGTTTTTTTTTGGTGATAAGTGACAAAATATTGTTCAATGACCTATGAGAACACAATACTAGAAGACAGAGTATGGTCAGAACAACAATTGGGGATTTCTAAATGATATATAACTTGCTATGGTTCATACTTTAATGCACTTCATATATACTTTGTATAATTTTATCATACATTATAACTTTGGTCCAAAAATAAAATAATACACCTACTATAAGCTATTGGAGAGACTATGTAAGATGAGAAACCTATAGTATTATTTTTTTGTGAAGATTTTCCACTTTTCTCCACCATTAGCCTTTCAAGCCTTGAATTCCTAGCTAAACCATTTGCTAATTCAACAACATTCATGACCCATGTGGAGCCAATTTAAAAAGGTAGATCTAGCCTCAAACTTGGGAACTATATATCCTTGATTAATTTAATTATTGCATGATATATGATATAATGTCACGATTTTACTATTTTTTAATTATTGCATGATAACTAGATAAGGTTGATACCAATTTTAATTATTGCATGATATATGATATAATGTCACGATTTTACTATTTTTTAATTATTGCATGATAACTAGATAAGGTTGATACCAATCTTATGATCATAAGTTATATATGATATTAGAAGAATTAGGACACATATGTGATATGGACTCGATATATAAATAATTTTATATCTATATTAAAAAATTAATTAAAGTTTTGCATATAACGTTTAATTAACAATTTATAATTGAGAATTTTTTTTCCCTCTACTGTTTTTTCTTTTATGTTTATTTTGTCAAATGCGGATAAGAAATCTAAATGAAAAATTTATTGCAAAACTAACACATGGTTCATATACTTTGAGAAAGAAAGAAAATAAAAGTAATAACTTGACTTGTGATGAGGGTTACCTTAGTTGTAAAAGAACAAGAGCAAATTAAAGTTTAAATCACTTGTAAGGGAAGAAAACTTCCTAAACTTGAGGGGAAACAAGAGTAATCAAACTTTAATTAATATGGAAGTGATAAACAATGGTTTTGTTTTTTATTTAAAAAATTGTTATTATACGTTGATACATTGGATTTGGGGTGTGTTGAAGGATGTGCATATCATTAAAATGTTGCCTTTAATATCTTCAAGTTGATTGGACCATTTTCTTCTTTCTTTGGAGGGTATCTCAAGATTTATTTATTTGTTTGTTTGTTTATTATTTTTTCAGGAGATCTAAAAGATTGGCAGCCTTTCCTTTCAAGCATTCTTTTCCCAGCTAGTTTTCCTTCAATTAAAAGTAGATGTAACGGACTCAATGCTCAACAAGGGTCATGATTTGATTACTTACTCAAGAAGGAGGAGGAAGGGTCAGCAAAATAGAATGTCAGAGAATAGTCACCAAGGCAGCCCCCAAGCAGAGAGCAGTCACCAAGCATAGCAGCATCATCCAATCAGAGGAGAGCTTTGACAGCTGCTACAACAACTTTTGTTGTTTTCCTTCTTTTGGCAGATTATGTATATTTAACAAAGGGAGAGTGGGATGGGCTAGGTAGGCAAGATCATAGTAATTTCTAGAGTTAGAGAGTGGTGCCCTAAAGGTGCTAAATCAGAGACTAGTAGCCTC